GGATGCTGTGCACGAGTATCGCACAAAGAGGAGGATGAAACTACTTTTTAAAACAGAGGGACTCGCCTTCATCCATCTCCAAGCTCATTAAAAACTGAGGTGACGCCCTACACAGAACAATATGGTCGTCCACTGCCCGACTTCTGGCAGCTGTGTTGGAATCACGAGGCGATGGCTGCTGGAAAAACGGCCTAAGTCACATCACCATCATGTTTGTATTTTATTGCATTATGAAGACTCAAATGTTAAATGCAGTCAAGAACATCCAGCCCTAAACCTGAAGCTTCATTACCGTCTTCATAACCACCCACAATAATTGTGAAAAATACGGTGAGATGGTCTTTAAAGTTATTCCATTCAGCCTCTCCTTTGGTTCTGGACAGCCTCTGCAGCGCATACAACACAGTTAAAAAGCTATCAATGATGGTCTTATATTTGTTTTAAATATTGGCCACCATTTTGTCGTTTGACTGTAACACTGTTTTTCTCCCCCCCCCCCCAATCTCCACAATATGATCAGTAACCAAGAAAAATTCATTATTTTTATTAAAAAGAAGCGAAATTCATAATATATGACTGGAGAGTGGCTTTTCTCTATGACTTTTGTTGTTTGTTATTAAACGTTTAAAACCGTGGATATTTCTTTAAGAACGCAACTTTCAAAAGTTTCATGTTCCTTACCTAGCAACAGCGTCTGTAAATCGTCCACGAATGACGGCGGCATCAAACCAGAAACAGTCTGACCGTCTGGCACGGAGCAGACGTCTAGAAACGTTGGATGTGTCTTCTAATTACGAGTAGTATTAGTATTACACACAGGAGGAATGGGGTACCACCGACCTGCCACTCAATTGCTTCACCTAATCAATTATAAACATCTCCAACAATCCATTTACACCGATTTCAAGTAAACCTTGCGTATCGCGCTTCTAAACGAGATATGACATTAGTCACATATCCCGCTTTTCTCCGTACAGATGTGAATACTCTTGAAACAACGAAGGTAGATGAGTCTCTGATTTCAGGGATCAAGATGTCTCAACGGTCCTGACGCTGCCCATTACACGCCAGGAGAGTGTGGGAGTGGCTAACACGTACGGGCAGACCGTGGGGCTCCGCACCTCCTGTTTCAAAATCACCAGACGAGACATGCGACGAAATTAGACTTTGTCGTTGAAATGTCAGCTCTCCCATGGCAACCAATCAGTACTTTGCTGTAACGAAGGATTATGGCAACATTTATAATTGTGTCCTTAAGAAAAATTTGTAAGAAATTTAAAGTGAAGTGAAGAAACACAGATCCCTGCGATTGAAACATCTGCAAAGGAATGGAACGAGAACAGTAAAATGAGTCTTCAATATAGACCAAGAGCAAGAACAGATTTTCAGTCCAAGAAAATGATAGCAAGATGAAGCCGGAACACGAATATTTCCTGTTCCCCGATGTGAAGACGGCAATGCAGCTTGATAAATTTCACATCGGCATTCACAGAACCGGTTTTCGTGTAATTTGCATACAACACTCTCCCTTTTCATGGTCCAGATTACCCTATAATACGTCAAAACAAAAAAAGCAAACTCGATCTATTAACAACCTGTGATCTTCCGTTGTGATGTCTTGACAACACTGAAAGTGTCTGGTTGGCAGACATTTAGATCTACCTGAGCATCCAATTCGGGCAAGACTGATGTTGAAGTATTTAATTAACTTTTTCGCAGGTTGCTTAGTTGGCGTAGCTAATGATTGCGATGATCCCACAGAGGCGCTACTCTTTTATTTTTCCTATTGTCAGTTTTAATTTGCTTCGTCACTTTATCGTGCCCTTTCAAACAAGTCAGTTAACTCTGAAAACACATACCAAATATATTAACCGTAAACTATGTTCAGGGTGTTTTGCTATGAGGCCATTAGTCACAATTAAGAAAACAGAAACTTTAAAATAAGTTCTACTTCGCTCACTTCCATTCAATTATGTCACATGGAATTAAATACTGGGGAAATTCAACAGACAGGAAAAAGTATTTATGTCCAAAATAAAATCACTAGAATAATGACAGTCGTTAAACGGACGGTGTCTTGCAGAATATTATTTACAAAGTTCAATATTCTCCCACTACCCAGGGAATTCTTATTTTCGTAATTATTACATTTGTGGACAACATGGAAAATTTTCAAAAAAATTCAGATTTTTACGAAATAAATACAAGGTGCAGGCTTCACCTCAGCAAATTGTAAAAAGAATTTTACTAAAGTGGGATTTAATTATTCAATAATCTTCCTCCTACCATCAAAAGTTTAAATCATGACGTAAAAGTATTTAAGCACAGCACTGAACCGTAAAGCTGTACATCCTGTCGCATAGAAATACATAAAAATAAACCCACATAAATGATTGTTCCATCTTCCAACTCCTACTAGTAAGTAGCTATGTAGGTAGCTATACTAATTCATAGTATGGACATTAAACAGCACTCACCATTCGCTGCCACGTCCCAGGCTTGTAGTCCTGCCTCAGTTGAAAGCTTCCGTACACATTGGAACGCTGATAAAGTCCAATGGGGGCGCATGAATGTACTCCACTTTCAAAGTCACCAACATCACAAACACATAAAATGACACGATCACAATAAGTTTCTTCTTTAAACAGTTTTTATTTCAGTGTAAAAGCACTTCGAAATTCATTGATCATTCAAGAATGCAGTACCACTTTATAAAGTATTAACACATATGTTAAGTAATTAATGCAATTATTGAAACATTTTTTAATTACGTGGCCTGGCAAGTATTTGTTAGCAACGCGTGTAGCCCCATATAAATAACATGTCCACAGTGTTATAATGTCCTATCTTCCTGGCCCAAATATTCTCCTCAGAACCCTGATTCCCCCCAATCTCTATATTTCCTTCCATTCTTCACCAGATAATTAATTTTGAAGCACTTAGATTTCCTGTAAATTTACAACGCAGATGTACAGTTTCGTTTATCTAGAGCTACTTATTACTACCTGCACATATAAATTTAAAATTATAACAAAGCACACTTCTACTTCAAAAACGCAAACCACTATTTCGTACGCGACACGATCACACAGAAAACTAACCCCACAATTAGTGCGTAAAACCAATTTGACTGATTGCCAGTGCCACCATTAAGAAACTACAGTTTCGCACTACAAACACACAAAATACTGTAAGAGAATGTGAAAAGTTCCAATCTCCTCAAAATTATCTTACACTTCTGCATTTCTGATAGAAATACAGGCGACTAACCAGCATTTAGAAACAAATACGGACGAAACTGTACGGCATATAAGACATGTTTTGCACAAGACGTAAGTCTGGTAACCCTGCATGTAAATTTCCTTTCATAATCAGTCTAATCTCGCTTGGAATGATACAAGTCCCGAATAGGCCACAACACAAAGAACACTATGGCATTCGAGGAAACCTGCCCTTGATGTAAACCCCTTAAAATGTGTAACATGTTGTTCAGTTCTCAATTTATAAAACGTGAATTTCTCCGCTTTAGTATCATCACAGATTCAAATACTATAATTCTGGTTTCCTTCAGTGCTTAACTGTTGTTAAGAATTCATGATTAATTCATAACTATCATACTAAAATAAATAAATCATTTAGAACTTGCATGACAGCATTCCATCACCCATTTGTCTCGACAGCAAGCCTACATAACCCAAAACACGGAACATGGCTCCTAAGAAAACGGAAGCTCAAACACTTTGTTCTGCTTTGTACATGTATAATCAATGATGATTCAATTTGCTGGAATATGTGCCTTATTAACGGATAGGATACTTCGAAATCAATATCTGTATTACCTAAAAACACATTTAGAAACAATAAATGTTCAGCACAAACCCTACATATTTACAACTCTTCACGACAAATGTTTCTTACGTGCGAAAGTTAATAACACGTCACGTGACTACCGTCCTTGTCTCTGTCCATGCTACGCATCAAAGAACTCTAGCGTGGAAAGACTACGTTTGTTTAGTTTCCGCACGTTTCGTCTTCCACGGAGCAGTTGAAACAGAAGATCACCTTTCAGAGCGAGTCTACGCTTGTGTGTAGTTTTAAAATGAAGCGAACTCGAATAATGTAGGATCTGGATAATCTACGAACCTGCAAACCCAAAACTGAGTTTCCGAAAAGGAATAAAACTCCGATTTGATGGCTCTGTTATTTATCATTTCGATAATTTTCTCTTCCAACAAATGAGCTGGAGAAAAAGCATGGAACCTCGGAAGAAAAAATGTACCACTTTCATGTACTGTACGCTCTTTCCTGCAGCCACTACAAATTGATAGACGAGGGGAACGCTTTCCTTTTGTGCAAGAGTAATTCAAGTAGTTCGCCTGGTCCTTTAATCCTTTATGCCAGATACTAACACGAATATTATAGACAGGTTCCGCACAAATTATACTTTTTAATTAATTATTTTTCCAGTCATAAACTGGTGTGGCAGATAATGTGAAAGATATTTAAATAACTTACTAACTTGGTGGTACTGAATGTTACATGAATAATCGATTATTCAGCCCACCCAGAGATTCCCTTTTGTGACAAAACACTGGAGTTCATCATAATCATAAAATCCTTAATTACTGTAACCCAGTCACATACTCGCAAACTATTTCCATGATTTATATCTTAATTGCGTCATGTTTGTGTTTTATTGATACAATATTGTATTTCCATGATATCCATTTCATATTATTCTTCCATCTGCTTCTGACTCCTAAAAGTTTTCTTCTGGATTATAAAACAAAAATGTCGAATGCATTTATTATACCCTATTCACTCCAAAATCTTTAATCGTATGATCTTTACTGTAGTATGAAGAACACAATTATAAATATCGACAAATAAATTCTGACTTACCTTATTTGTCCTTTCGTATTTCTTTGTGCTGTTACATGCGAATCTTGTGGATATATAGTTGGAATGAGGGAAACATGAAATGATACAAATAACTTGGACAACTCGGGTATATAAGGCCTCTACCTGTACGCAGGACAGTACAACACAGAAAAACCATGGCTTGAGTGGGATTCGAACCCACGGTCCCAGCTACCAAGCGGCCAATGCGGACCCCTTACTGACTATGGAGCCCATAAGTCTGGAAGTCAGTTTGTTCGTGTGTTATTCCAGTGGTCATTTTCACAACCTCAACCTCCCTTAATGCGTGATGCCAACTAATCTCGTCTCGTGCGATACGCTGGATCGCCATGGGTTCTTGGCCGCCGAAATTGGAAACATTCCCTGTCTGTCGGTACTGACCGCAGTAATCACGACGCATTAATCTCGCTCTAATTTAAATCGTGCTCGTCCGCTCCTAACGTGTCTAAAATTCGGAAGACCTGGCTTCATTTCCTTCCAGTCACGGTACTGTAAAGTCGTTCCGGGTCAAAGTTCTTGAGTATAATGTTTTATTGTTTCATGCTATTATGCGAAGGGAAAATATATCCATATAAGACGATACATATCAGCCACGGTGGTCTAGCGGTTAGAACGCTGGCCTTGTAATACTGGGGTCTCGGGTTCGATTCCCGGCGGTGCCCGAATTTATAACTTGTGTTGGGCAAGGCCGTGGTCTAGGCAACCCGGAGTTTTCCTCCGTGGCATCCCAACAATTACTCCATTCACACACAGAAGAAGGCAATGGCAAACCACTTCTGGATCATCTGCCAAGAACGTATATGAACAGGTCCCAGTCCGAGAAAAGGATGGAAGGATTCTGTTCATATGGACCTGTCGTCAGACAGAACACTAAATAAATAATAATAAATAATAAATAAAATAAGACGATACATATTGAATGTTTTGTCAACTCTTATCTTGAACTAAGTTACCGACATTACTGACACGTAATACGAAAGCCATATTCAAGCTACCATTTACATAGTCTTCGCATTCAACAACAAAACAACACCAGTGCGAACTTATGAGGTGAGATGAATAGTAATGCCATTCATTCAAGGGTCTTGTAGCTGTGTTTTGTTACAACATCTTTAATAATGGATAACAGGCCACTGGTCAACGTACTAATTGGCTGAACAATTAATTTTAACTTTAAATCTGGAATGCATATGGCAACATGTTACAAACACAACTACTAATTATGCACGAAAAATGTGAAATTACAAAATCCTAGAAAAGTGACAAGGGTTCGAGTTAGCATCTGCCATCACTCGGACGGTTCATGTAGAAAATAATTTTTTTAAATTACATGCACCAAGATACGTTTTTACACTTACGTGAAACTCAGTTTATTTATACAGGAACAAAGCCCATCGTTCAGGTCTAATTTTAACACCAAAAATTCGAACAACGCTGCTTCTGCTAGAACAGGTAGTAATTGTAACATACGTCACTCTTGCAGTGCTTTAAGGCCATTTTATATATAGAAGCCACTATAAAGGCTGTGCTTACGGGTCACGAAAACCTTTCCACCCAAAGTGCGAGCAGACAACTGACGCTGTCCAGATCACTGGCTCACTGAAAGCTTCTCCGAGTACTGGGGCCCAATTTGTTACGTTGGATGAAAGCAACACACACACACACTGTGATGGGAAGGGCCAGATGGCTCCCTGGACCCCAGCCTGAAAAATGGAGTATATAAATGGCCGCAAAGGTGGAAAATTCTTCGCACAGTCAGGAAACCAAATTAGTTGAGAATATTTACTCACACGATAAGATCTGAGGGTACAACCATCACTTTGTAGACTTTTAAACGAATATTTGTTACTCCGACTATTCAAGGGCACTTCCATTAAGACTGTTAAAATCCTCGCATTCGCCGTCCATATGAATAGTTACGTTCCTGGAGAGAGTTCATGAAGCGAACTGCTATTTCCCTTTAGTGGAAAGTTATAGTTGGGGGTTACGTTCCCGAAAAATCAAAAAATGACAGTCTCTACACTGTACGTATATTCAGTATCCCATGCGTGGTACGTTCCCGCCATACTAATAATCACTCGACTTTGCATAATCTGAGCAGTCTATACAACGACGTAAAATAACAGAATAAAAAGGCTACACGCCTATATTTAGCCTTCCCTTTCATTGGTTTCTACAATGTTCTATCGCATGTCCACAGCACTTAATCTTACGTCGGTCTGCAGACCACAAGTTGATAACTATGGACAAGTCTATATTCTACACTTTTGTGTTCTTTTGTGAAGCCACAAACTAAGGGTTTTGAAACCCACCCCCGTAATGATGTACGAGCGGCTATAAAGGAGACGCAGCATCGCACGTGGACCCTGATCTCAATGTGCGATGCGTATTAGCACGTGTAGGTTCCGCTTCCAGAAGGTTACATTACTTGTTACTTCAACTGATAGTTGATTGGTTCCTTAGCTAACCAACTCGTTAACTGAAAATTCAATTTATCGAGTAACACGTGAAAGAACAGGTGAGCCAGGAAAGTTATGGGCGAAATCTGTCGCTGTCTGTCTCGACACACGCCTTGGGGAGTGCAGAGAAACCCCGTTCAGAATCTCCCTGTTCCAGAAAGACGAGTTACTATAGACGATATCGCCCTGATGATGGAGGCAGTATGACCTCTGAAACGTTGGTAAACATCGACCGGACTACACAGCGCAACAACCCAGAAGTCACAAATCTTCATACTCACCGCTGTGAAAACCTCAAATCTTACAAAAGTCAGTAACATTCCTGAGATGGGGCTTGTGTCACTGTTGCACCGACCGTGACGGTAACCCGACGAGGTGGATCTGCCCTTCATAAGTAGTAACGAAGTTCTGACCCGAACCTTTATTATTTCAAGGTGGCATTGTTCCCTCACGGAGAGGAACGCCCTTAGGAACTAGGATGATATAGTCTGGTCAGGTGGAATCCACACCACAAGATATGGGCCAAAGGACGAAAGCACATCATCTCCATAAAGAAACGAATTAAAATCGCGTTCGGTTTTAATAACAAATATTGCATGACATATGGAAAATAAATTAAAACTTACAAGAGCCGTTCTTCGTTTGTTTAATTGCGCTTTGTCAACTGTGTCGAATGCGAAGAACGCGGGAGGAAATGGTCGTGGCCTGTTTGAAAACGTCTCAGCATATGCCTGGACGAACTCGAGATTCCCGTGAAATTCTTGTCAAAATTTAGGCTACAAATTCTTACAAAATCTAATTTTAAATCACCAACATTGTTCGGTTCAATTTGCAATTTATCGAATGGTATTAAATTCTCAGAGCTGCTGTATGAGAGACAGAAAACAACTTAAAAACCGTAAATGAGCTTTCTCTCGTTGCTGAAATATATTTTTGGAGATAAAAATGCTGTCATCTGATGAATGACGTTTAGAGACCTGAAACATGTGTCTTGCTACATAGTAACTAAATCATTCTACATATGGGATTTAATATTTTCAAAGCCTTTCATTCTCAAAAAAATTAAGAAACAGCACAAACTGTGGTTCTTTAGTTTACATAACTTGTAGAATATTTTTAAGAATTTTTCTAACATGATACGTGACAACATTTAGCCATTGTGTCAAATTTGCGCTAAATATTTGTAATTTCTGTAGATTCAACAATAAGATATCGCATATTATCACAAATTACATACTTCTTTAAAAATATACACATTAATTTAAAAAAGTTACGTACACAAGGCATATTTTGTTGAGAAGTGCATTACTGCTACCATACCAGTATCAACTGTCTACTCTAGAAATTAGTGAATTCACAGAAGTACACCCTGTGGATCTCGGGAAAATAGGGCGTGAGGGCATACACTGGATTTTACTTGCGCAAGTCTAGGCTCTACTGCGAACTTCAGTGTTGGCGGTGTTGAACCTCCGGAGTCCAACCACTAGATCAGTCAGTTACAAAATATGGAAACAACATGGGGTTTGGCTGTTATGAAATTTAAATAATCCTGAAACAATCAATCTGTCACAGTGCCAGAGTGTACATCCCTGCGGTTCTAAGACATTTGGGGCCCCCCCTTGAAGATTCCTACAATTTTCCCGCCCATTAAGCCCCCTGTGGGGCACTTTATGGGCTCCAAGTGTTGCTTCTTCGTGTCTTACATGGGGCGAGCGGTTAATAGGCCAGTTAGTCTTCTTTTTATTGTCTTTTGTAGCTCGGGCAACAATATACACGCGTTGCTAGGATATCATTTCCATGGAAACGGATTTAATTACACTAACAAAAGACATAGGATCCTCTTTGTGAAATTATAAAACCTAACTAATGTTTGTGGTATGACAATTTTCGTTATGGTTTATCGTGTTTCTTTTATCCTCAGAACGTCGTATATTAAAACTAGTGCACTCTCGCCTTTGTATCCTGACAGCACTAACAGACCAGCGTTGGTTGACTACACCGAACTTAAACAGAATCAAAGATTTGAATCGGGGGGAAATTTTTCGAAATATTCATCTTAGTTTGTTGGCGATATTTACAAACAACAGGGTCGCTACAAAAATACGAAATATCTGCCCAAATAAATTAATATTTAAAAGTAGAATTTGAAAACCATTTTAAATGTCACGTAACCAGGGCGTATTAATTAAATATGTTCATATAATGTTTCAGAGCTTATCCACAACAAATGGTGAAATTTTTTAACACGTGCTACTCGGTCCATGGTCCGTGGTTGTAGATCTACTCCTAATATCATATTTAATGTCCGTCACGCTTAACTGTACGAGTGCACCGTTCGTGCGACGTCGAAAATGTTAAAAGAAGTTCTGATGGTAACGACTCTGGGTCTGCG